TGATTGAAGTCAGAGTAAAGATGTTGCATAAAAGGTAGATTATCATTCCAAAGGCCAATTATTTATAACAGATTTTATAAGTCCATTACATAATCAACAGTTTGGCCTAGAAAAAGCAAAAGGATATATTGTTCAGAAATTAGACCTACAAAATTATTTTTGAAATCAATCCAGACAAGGTTGGACTGATTCAGAGAAGCCATACCCTGCAATTTGGATTCTTCCAACTTTGGAAGAACACTTTGAACTTTGGTAAACTACACCTTATAACCTTCAGTCTCTTTCTTCATTCTGTCCAGCTTGGAGTTGAGAGCTTGTTGATCAAGTTGAGCTTGAGCTAAGGCTTGCCTTAACTCCAGTTCCTTTGTTTGGAGCCTGTCTATTTTTGGCTTGAGAGATTTAAAAGCAACAACACAGCCTTTAAGTTTATCAGTGAGGAAATTTCTTTTCTTGTTCTTCTCTTCCACCTGTGAAATGATAGATAGGGACTCCTGGATAGATTTGGATAGGTTTGGAAGATGAGCTTTAAAGGAAGAAATGGCTGATTGAATTTTCACCGGGAAACCTTGGTGTTGGCTAAGCTTAATTAGAGCCATTGAAAGTTCATTTTCAACGAAAGGAAGATTAGTAGAATCATGTTGGAGAAGGGTAAGTAAGGTTTCTTTATCTTCTACAAAAGTATTGGAGGGACTGGGAACAAGGGCCAAAACACTACTGGAAGAAGTCATGTTTTCCTTAACCAGAGATTCAATGGTTTGAAAGTAATCACTGAAAGCCGAGAATGATCCCATGGAAGTGACAGCCATGGAAGATTGAGTTTGGGCAACAGTATCCTGCACAAGGAGGAGGAGGTTAAGGAAATATAGGAAAATAAATAAAAGAAATAAAAGATTACCTTCTTCTGAGGAGAGGGAGATTCAGCTACTTCCTCCGTGCCAGAAACTCCTATTTGGGTGGATTTCCCTGCTGGAGGATTAGGAGGATCTTTTGGAAGAATGACAATGAGAAATGTCTGTTTTTTCAATGGTGATCTTGGAGGGCTTGGTAGATTGGGATCAAGAAGGCTATGTGAAGAAGAATCCTAAGAGGAAAAATACTGTTAATACACAGTAAAATAGAAAAAGAAGAAGAAATACGAAGTATGAAGAAATACCTCAGTAGAAGATTTTCTTTCGAAATGGGTAGTTTCTCCACTACCATATTTTCCTGCATCTTCATCTTCCTCAGAATCATTCTCTTCTCTTTCTTCTTCTTCTCCTTCTTCTGTTTCCATTTTTTCTTCTGTTTCCTTCTTCTTTTTCCTCTTCTTCTTCTTTGGTTTCATCTTTTTCATTTGTTCCTATTTCTTCAATTTCATCTTTTTCTTCTTTCGAATTAACACTTGGAGTTTTTTCACTCTTATCAATTGTTTCTTTAGGAATAGGAAGTTGCCTGCGAACTAAAGGACGTCCAGATCTTATGGTACTTTTTGGAAGGGTTGGTTTAGCAGGAGTCTGGATATAAGAAAGAATGTGAGAAATTGATTTTATAAATGTATAACTTAGGAAGAAGGAAAGAAGTTATAAGGTATATACCTTTTTGGCCGAGGAAATCATTCCTTTGGGAGGCGCTGTCTCGACTGTTTGACTATGACTTTGGGATAACACTTCCTTTGGAAGATTGGAAGGATCTTGTTCATCATCAGAGTCAACGGGAAAAGCTGACAAAAGAATAAAAGGTAAGTAAATGAATTTGAATGATTGAGGTTATATAATGAGTTATTACCTTTTTTTGGAACTTGTGCTCCTTTTGGTTTTCTTAAATGGAGCAGCAAGGGTTGCTCTAGTTTTAGCGATCTGTTTCATTTTCTTGCCACCCTTCTTGGAACTTTTGAGAAGGTCGGTATCTTAGAAGATAGAATTTACAAATTTGAAAGAACCAAGTTGAGTGGTAATGAGGGAAAAATAATCTGTTTCCCTAGTCTTCACAATATAGGAATTCCACCATTTATTGAAGGCAGGATCAGAAGTGGGATCTTCAACGAAAGGCTTAAATTGAAAGATCTTCTTCAAAGCTTTGAATCTATTACTTACGGTTTTGACAAAATCTTCATCATTGAATTTTACAAGAAGATGGAAGGTGCTGTTGAAAGAAGGACACGGCGGCTGAGGAATCATCTGCCGTAAGCCAAACTGCCGGGCAAACTGAGCAGGGTTGTAGAACTCTACTCTAACTCCGCTATTTTTGGAAGAATATGGAGCGGTATTCTAATGAATATCTCTGGCCACCAAGAAGCTGGCCCATATGGACTTTTGCTCTTCTGATAGTTTCTTGGTAGAAATCGGGATAGGAGAGAGCCCAGATGGAGTGTGAGTACTGAACGAAAATGGAAGAAATTGTTGAGGAGTTCTGGTTTGGCAGCCTTGGTAGAAAAAAGTAAAGAAATCCTTGAAGGATTGAGGTTTAGGCATGGTCGTAGCATAACTGAAAGAAATTAAAGCATCATTGGCCGAAGGTCTAACTTTCGGCCCTAGCTCTGGGAAGTAAATTTGAAGCCAGAGTTGAAAGATCCAAAATGGACCACCCATTTTGGAAAAATCAGTTGTGATCAAATCATAAAGATCCCTATAAAGATGGGCAAAAACTAGGGGGCCAATGCTAAAGGAGAACCTTTTGACAAAACGATGGCCACTTCCACTAGATCTTTGGTAACTTGCAAAGCTGGAACGCATAGCACAAATCAATTAAGCCATACAAGTAGAAAGGCAATATGTTCTGCATCTTCAGCTTGAGGGGTATGCTTTATATAGGCCTAAAGAAAAGGGCCGTAAGTTGCTTCATAATTTTTTGTACCAGATTCTTTGGTTGGAAAGTTGAAAGTAGTGTCAGGATCATAAAGAAGACAATTTACTTCAATACCAATGGGTTTTAAGCCAGTTAAGTGACATATATCTTTCAAGGTGGGAGCCATCATGCCACAATTTAGATGTAAAGAATTTATGGTAGAACTCCAAAAGAATAAGGTAGCAAAGAAGAGAGACTTATCTTGAATTGGGGGTACTTTGCTAAGCTGGATTGCGTCGTAAATCCCAAGTTGTTTCCAGCTTTTTCCCTTCAATGGAGTCATCCTATCGACCCAAGCGCTCCAACCTTCGAACGGCGTAACCCAATTTTTTAAGTTAAAAATGGGTAAGTCCCAGTTTGATGATTTTTGAAATTTCTTTGAAAAAGGAAAGGAATCTTCTGCTTGAGGGTAAAAGGAAGTAATTGAAGAGGGAATTTTGGAAGGAAAAGCTGGACCCACGGATTTAACATCGCCAGGTAGGATGATGAAATATTATAGGAAAACCTGATCAGTTGGAAGGCTGGAGATAGCTTTCGTTGCTTGATGTCCATAGGTTGTTGGCAGATCAGATGGTAGAGGTAGGTCGAAGGAAGATTTGCCTTTGGGAGTCATCTGAGGGATTGAAGGAATAGCTTCAAGAGAAGAAGAAGGATTTGATACTGAGGGAAGGAGAGACTTTGTTTTGAAGGAGGAAGATGGCATAATAAAAGACCGGCTAGAAAAAGAAGATCAAGAGGAAATATGCATTTAATGCTGGTGGTTGTAAAGGTGGCAAGCCATTACGTAAGAAATGATGAGGGTCAAATCGGGAACAGTAATCGGTGGAGAGAGAATTTTGGTTGGATGATGGGATAAGGCCTTTATGGATATCTAGGTAATTTCAAATTTTAAATCTTTTCAGGCTTGATCTTGGAAGACAGAAAGCTTTAAAATTGGGGGGCATAATGTTGGCACATAAAAGTGGCAGGCCAATACTTGGCCACTTCAATGATGATGTGGTGTAATAAAATAGCACAAGTGGACTAAATCATGGTTTGAATAATAAGTTGACATATGTCAAACTTGGAAATGAAAGAGATTCCAATACGCTGGAGACATTTGGCAGATCAGGAAAGGTAAATATGGAAGGATAATGACAGCTGGCTATCAAGACGTGGTTTAAATCATCTCCTGAAAATAAGGAAGACGTGGGCTAGGGAAATTTGTAATATTCTAAAGTTTTATAAACTAATAGAAGTCCCTACCTTTAAGGAGTGTTAGTTAATACACAGTTCAAGAAGGTAGTTCCTAAAAATTAGGGATAAGAAGATCGTGGATTATACCGAATCTATTTCAAAAGGGAATAAGCTGAAGCGGTTAAAATCAAGTAATATATATATATAGTTTAAAGAATGTGGGACATATGGCGACAACAGAGGAAACTCATAGATCGTGGGTATGGAAGTTGAAATTTGGCAGCTGAGTATGAGACAAGTGTTTTGTAAGGAAGGAGTGGGTAGTTACTAAATAGGACATGGGTCCTTCTTGTAGGGCTTTAATGCCTATAAATAGTTTACTTAGGACTATGTTTCAAACTCTCTCAACGACATCAATCAACATTCAATACTTTGTATTTCAATTCAAGCAATTTGAACACAAGTTTATTTTAATTCTTTTACATTCATGCACTTACTTTCAGTATTGCATTTCAATTCACTAGATAGCATTGTAGTGTTCACTAGAAGTCCTTCCATTGAAGGCAAATCCGAAACCTCACAATCGCTTGATCATTCTAAAAGGATCTTCCTTTTTGTTTGACCTCTCTGAATCTTCCGAGATTCTGGCACGCCTGCACATCCCAAGTGTCCCAATTTTGTGAAAACAATTGGATATGTATTTATCCACATATATACTACGGACCTTATTATATATGGAAATTAAGGCACTTGATTAATTTACACATTCATAGCAATACATGAAAATATAAGTAGTTCATCAAGTGCTCTCCAATTAATTGTGACCCACCAAAAGAAAATTAAGGCCAAAACATTCATTTAATGGATTTATCAACTCAAGTACTTTGTTGTCATTATAATTGCACATATAGCAATTAAATTACCATGAACGTTGATACATGCAAGAGAAGTTATTAAGTTATGCAAATGCCAAATGCATTATACATGCATGGAATTAATGTGGCTAGCTTATTTAATTTAATTGGCAGGTGCTGCAGGTTCTTCTGGAGCAGATCCATCATCTTCGGCATAATCCTCATCAGGATCATCAGGGTAGATACCCAACTCCTCGAGCACTTGGGTGCACTCGGCATCGGGGTCCTTCTTCATGAAGCCGATGTAGTTGGCGTAGCGAATATCGGAGTTTGATTCAATATCGGTGAGGGTGACCGGGGCTATTTCATCCATGGCTTCACCGCATGTGTCAGGTTGGGGACTTGACACCACTGCCACCTCACAAACCTCGTCACCGTGATCTCCTTCTGCCTTTAGAGTGTAGTTCCCATCTTTGCCAGATTTTCCGTTAACGGAGTATGTCACATTTCCGGTCTCCACATTTCTGCATTCCAGGACCACTTCTGCACCTGCGCAATTAAGGAAAAAATACATTGATACTCGTGATATATTGATGACATGATTATTTATGGGAAAAAAATATTAATGACATGATATTACAATCTATTAATTAAAAATAATAATAAAAATAAATATATTTTCAACATTGCCATTTTAACTTAAGTCTTCCGTCAAACACTTTGCATCTGCAAGTGTGAACTCTTTCGCCTAAATATCATTTTCCCTACACTCTTATCACTTGTGCAAAAAGTCTTTCCATTAACATTCTATGTAATATTGCACTAGTTTTTATATCTTCATTGCATACACTCATTGAATAACGATAGTGTTACATTACATACACATATACATATATTACTATATGGGTTTCATGTTCATAATTTGATTAAAAGTGGAAGGGTTATGTGTTTGGAAGTTAAACAACAAAAAGGCCAACAAAAGCTTATATACAATCAAGTAATTAAAAATGATTTTAACAAAATTTAGATTCAACAAAAAAAAGACAGTGAATAATAGGAAAGAATAGAAAATGAATTTACATGACGGACCCCATTCATATGGGACATAGACAAATAATCATGATGAATTTGATGATTTTAATTACCTTCGAGGAATTGACTCAACTTGGTAATGAACTGTACACGGCATGGGTCGCAGAAAACCTTGCCTTCGACGGTGAACTTGCTGTCTTTGTTTTTGTCGTTGCCGTGGACCAATCCAGACAGGGCCAAGAGGCAGAGGGCAGAGGCAACGAGTTCTACAGCCTTAGCCATTTTCACTTCTCTTGGTATGTATTGGAATTGGAGGTTATCAAAATGACTTAAATATAAGGAAGAGGTGAGAGGGAATAAGAGAAAGAGAGGTTGAGCGGTTATTTCTGCATGGCTGAGTTTTAGCATGACAGAGTTTGAGCTGTTATTTGATGGCTGAGTTTTATGTCTTCGCTGGTAAATGCTTTAAACAACCTTCTTACCTGGCAGATTCCTTCATAACATTTGCCTCTTCCCCAACATCTTCAGTTCTTTGACAAACCAAGATGAGAACAAATAATTATAAAGGAGATTATATAAAAAAATAATATGCCTCAGAAATGTATGAAATAAATGTTGACAGCTTTATGTTGCCTTTGTTTTTTCATCTTGTGCAGCCCTTAGTTGTCTTAGAAATTACTATTCTGTTTCATCTTCTTCAGATTTAAGCATGGGCTGCGTTTTTTTAGGAGTAGTATATTTTTTTGGATGAACGGCATTAAACCCCCTTTTCTATTTGGGTTTTGCACTAAACATCCCTTTTCTATTTTTTTGTCAAAAAAAACCCCTCAACTATTCAAGGGGGGTGATTTAACAGACGAAAGTTAACTGGGTAAGATATGAAATAGAAATTGATTAAAGTGCCCACTAGGCCTGATTGGACATATACTTTGTCTTTGATTTTTTATTTTCTATTTTTTATTAAATCACCTTAAACATGTAAACTCTTTTTCCACGCCTCATGATCGAGATGAAATACCTACACCTCAATCTCGCTTCAAACCTCACGCTTCACTCTCACTTCAAAACTCACGATGGAGATTAATACTTTCATTCATGGTACAAAACACTATTAGAATGTGAACTTCTTAAAGCTTTATTCAAAGTCCAGATCTTTTGAGGTTTTTAAGGTGGTGGTAGTCCTGTGGTCCCTGTGGTGATTTCTTTTGAGAAGAAGACAAGACAAGAAAACAACAATTACTTTTCAAAGAAATTTGGTATGTTTGGAATTAGAGTTTGTTTGTTTCTTATTGAGATTCTCTCTAATTGTTTATGATTAACTAGGAAAAAAAATTGCTTATGATTTAAAAATTAGGATTTTCGTAGTTTAATAACGGTTGAATCCATTATTAAGTTGTAATCTTAAAGATTTTTCAGGTTCAGATTCATTCTTCACCTTTCGCACTTTAATTACAACTTCGATTTTTCAACCAACCAAAGGGCACTCCCCTTCGCAATTAGATAAACCCTAAATAATTCTTCTTGACACGACGACCTAATTTCAATCAAAGCAGCAGTGACGGAGACTACACAGATTTCACCACGCTGCCGCACAAACTAGTTTCCATTGGTCGGCGACCATTGCATGCAAGTGGTTGATTTTCCAAGTAGGTTAATGTGTGTGTATATCTGAAGTTTTTCTGTTTGTTATAAAAATTGTGTTTTGGTTGTGTGTATTTTGGGAGTATGTGTTTTTGCTGGTGGTTTTGCTCGTGCGCGCTTTGAACATGTACTTTTGCTGGTAAAGTAGTTGCTGACGTGTCAAAAATGTTGCTGATATAGACAAAACATTATTTTGGCAAGACTGTTGGTGGTGTCTTCATGGTGTGACTCTAGTACCATGGAGGAACAAATCTCGGCAAGACTACTGGTGGTCTCTTCATTGCTACTAGCTATGATTATGATGCTCCAATTAATAAATATGGTATGCGTTAAACAATTACAACCTTGATTATTTAGTTTTGGACCAATTAAGACAATTGCTAAAATTATGAGCTGTACTGAAATTTGACTTAACGATATTGTTTCCAATTTCCTATCAGTATGTTTTGCTCTATTAAGTGGAATTTTTTTATTTACAATGCCCCACGATATTTTATAGATTTATTGCATGGCCTTGTATAGATTGATTTTGAGTGCAAAGTCAGATGCTTTACTTGTTTCATGCTTGACAGGGTGTTAGTGCAGTTTCTCAAAGTTTGCTTCCAAGTTTATTGAAGTTTCTAAAAGTTTAATATTAGGGAAGTAATATGAGTTGCATCTCTCTTTTCGTTGGTTCCCTTTTTTTTTCTCCGCCTCTCTTTAATTTGTTTTAAAAGTGGGTGAAAGTTCTAAGTTGATACAGAATTTTATTTTGTTTCAAGAGTTGGTGAAAGTTCTAAGTTGATAGCAGAATTTTATACCCTCAACAATGCCTAAAGTAAGTTTCTGAATGTGAGCATCTGAAGATTTTGGAGTTACAATATTGATATATATGATATTTAAATGGGTGATCTAAATTTTTTATCATATTTGTACACGTGATGGATGATCTTAGTGATCTTTTCTCCTTGGAGATAATTTTTCATCAGTATAAATAAATGGATGAAAGAAATCAAATAAAAAAAAGAATCCTGTTGGAACTTAACACTCACCAGATGCATAAGCTAAAACAAAAGTAATAGTGAATGCTTTCATTCTTTTTCAAATAGACGCATTGACAATTTTTTGGGGAAAAAAAAAAGGTCATAAGAATGATGTAAAATTAAAAGGAGTGGACAAATGTAACTTCTTACACATTTACATGTACAAACCATGTGGAGGATAGATACATGGGTATATATAAAATAAGTACTAGGACAATTTTGTCTAAAAAATAAAAACTCAGTATCGGTTCCAATTCAACTAACATCCTTCTATTAAGTCACCTCTCGGATAGTTAAGGGAGATTTTTTGGTAAAAAAAATAGAAAATGAATGTTTAGTGCAAAATGCAAATAGGAAAGGGAAGTTTAATGTTTTACACTCTGTAAAAAATAAAAAATAATAATAATAAATAATCAAAGACAAAGTATATGTCCAAACAAACCTAATAGGCACTTTAGTCAATTTTTATTTCAATTCTTACCCAGTTTACTTTTGTCTGTCAAATCACCCTCGAATAGTTGAGGGGGGTTTTTTGACAAAAAAAATAGAAAAAGGGTGTTTAGTGCAAAACCCAAATAGAAAAGGGGGGTTTAGTGTTGTTTACCCTATTTTTTTTTTTCATTGAACTCGTTATGAAATAAACCCAAAATAGAGGTATTGTTAAAAGAAAATGACCTAAATTTTAATGGGTGGACATGTATTGAGACGCAAAAGAAGATCGCCTCAAAGATTAAATTGATTTTTATTTTTATTTTTTGTTAGATGGAAACAACAACTACAGGTGATGAACCAATCAAAACAAATGGAGAAAAAAAAAATTGTTGTCTAACAGGGAATTGAGAGGCAAAAGAATCAGATTTGTTGTCATAATTATTTATTTAATTATGATTGGATTTACCCAATTGAGATATCTAATGGGTTGGACTTGATTTGTTGTTTCATGATATATATATATATATATATATATATATATATATATATTGTGTGCTAAGGAAGCAAGGAGATGCATTGCCAGCGAAATGAGAAAGGAAAGTTGATTTTTATTTATTTTTATTGATTCTTTGCGGGTCCCACGTGCTGACTTTTTGGGCATAACATTTTTTTTTTTTACTTTGGCTTTGTACACATGGCTCTGTGTTGTGTATACAGATGAATGAAAGATAAGTGATAAGGGGTTAAGGGTGAGCTGTTTGCACTGTGTCGGTAGAATGGCCTTTTAAGTGTAGTGTATGAGCTTTGAGTTTTTTTTGGTGAGCAAACAGAAGAGAAAGAATTTGAGAGATACATAGAAATATTAGAGTAAAGATTGAGACAGAGAGAATTAGAGAATACAGGGAGTGAGCCGAGATTTTTGAGGACACACAGGCACAGAGCCGAGACGCAGTGAAAGGGCTGAGAGTTGATGCGCTAATATTCCAGTGATTTATTTCTTTTACAGTGGATTTAGACTTTGCCACTGAAGGCAAAGTCGACAAGCGCGTCGAGATCTATGTTTTGATCGGAGCAAAGTCCCATTTGGCCACCATTGAATTTCGAAATTTTAGGCATATTTTGGGACTTTTCTTCAATTAAGAGGTGGGGGTTTCTAATTCACATTTTTTTAGATTTTTGTGAATTTTTCTTCATGAATTGTTGTATAGTATGCTCAATTCGTATGGATTCTTGTAAAAATAATTTATTTGTTGTATATGTGATATTTAATTATGTATTCGTTGTCATTTTATGAGAAAACATGCCTTAAATGATTATATTCCATGCCTTATGTATTTGAGTTGCTGGAGATATAGTAAGAAGCATGATATGTGTATTATATAATTTTTCTCCCAATTGTGTTTATGATTAAGAATTCAAATGTATAAAGAATTATGTTGTTTAAGAGGCATGGTGCATTTATGCATTTTCATTGGACATGGAATGGGGGAAAGATTGTTTAAAAAAGGCAATTAAGTAGTTTTTGGAAAAAGTTTTTTAAAAAGTGTTTGTGAAAATCGGATGCCTAGGAGGCGCCTAGTGGTCTGTGGTGTTCATGTGATATAGAGGGAAATGGAAAGAGACTCTAGTGTGATTGAACTACCTTGGCCCAGACAATGCCATGGAGGTGCCATGTGGTCGGAGAAAGCTAGCCAACCCTTTCCTTGTGACGCCATAGATCGAGATGCTATGGGTTGGGTTGCATTAACGGTTTGAAATGGTGAAAATGAATTGTTTTGGAAAATGGGGAGCGACATTGACATGACAATGCATTTCATTTGCATATTTAGTGTATTTGTGTTACAATAACAATTATTTATAAGCTTGTAGTTGTGGTTATTGATGTGCATTCCCTATGACATGATCCTGTCCACTTTTTGCCTATTCTTTGCGTGGATTTATGGGGTCATAAAAGGTGTGTCTTAGACACCTCTTACTGAGCTTATGCTCACCCCATTATTTTAACATTTTTCAGGTATAGGGAAAGAAGGGGCAAGCGAAAACCCATCGCAAATTAAGATTGGACTAGAACTCTTATTTTGTTGTCTTTTGTATAGAAACATAATCATGTACCTTTTGTAAAAAAAAAAATTAAGTGTAACTTGTATAGTGTTGTAATTGTAGAATTTGTGTAAATAAATATATTTCATAAATTGCAATTTAATATGATTAAAGTGATTCCTTGTTTGGAGGAGATGGAGGAACGAGACATTTTGTATGTATGTGTTGATTTTGGAGATGTTGTATATTATTGCATTGTGTGTTGGAACATGATATGTATTTCTAGTCATTGCATTTTATATGTATTTCAGCAGGTCGTAGTAGGACTTTTTCTGTAAAAGTCATACCGAAATTTTAATATTTATTTTTTATTATTATTTTTTGGGTCGTTACAATGGGTTTGAGATTAAGTCTTAAGACAATTTCTCAGCTGCTAATTCTAGCACGTGTTGCAGAAGGAGCCGTTTTTTATGTAACAAAATTTGGTGCCAGGCCCAATGCAGATATGAGACAGGTGAGTGCTACACACACACACACACACATATGATGTTCAAGTCCTATGAACTTAAATAATTTTGTTTACAATCACTCATTACTCATTCTTGGTTTTTAGGCTCTATTGACTGCTTGGAGAATGGCATGTGAAACGAGAAATGCAAGCACAATTATAATTCCAGCAGCCACATTTTCGTTAAGTCAGGTGAATCTTCAAGGTCCTTGTGGTGCCCCTATTGGGATTGAGCTCAAAGTCATCCTGAAGGCCCCTCCTCTCAATCAAATCAAAGCTGATGCCTGGGTTGTTTTCTAAAAAGTTGACCGCTTAAGCCTATCAGGTGGTGGAACTTTTGATGGCATCGGTTCTGAAGCTTGGAAAACTTGTGTCCCAAAGAAAAAATGCCCTCCACGTCCTTCTGTAAGCAGATTCATATAAATATGTATATATGTATTTATATATATATATATATATTTGCTTATGAAATTTCAAACATTAATTAATTTTGTTCCATATATATATGTAATTTTCCTTAATGAGTTGTATGTCGTCTTTGTGACTGGATGATATATAACATGCAGGGTGTAAGGTTCAGCTATGTAAACAATTCTATGATCAATGACATAACTTCCAAGGACCCCAAAATGTTTCATATTACTGTTTTCGGAGGCAATAATGTGACTTTTCAAAGACTTATCGTTGCACCACAAGATAGCAGAAACACTGATGGACTACAAGAAAAGTGTGTTTTTATGACCAGTATTTACTAGGTTTATTTATTTTGCATAAAAACTGCATTTGACGAGGTTCATAAGGGGTTCTTTGTAGTTGTCACACGCTTTCACTAGGTTGGAAATAGAGTCCTTGCAAAACAATGCTTTCACTAGGTGTTAAAGGTGCTCGTTAATATATGCATATATTAACGAGGCATTTGTCAACTTTAACGGGGTATTAGTGCCTCGTTAATAAAGGTCAACTTTAACGGGATGTAAGCACCTCGTTAATGAAGGTCAACTTTAACGGGATGTAAGCACCTCGTTAACGAAGGTTAACTTTATCGGGATATAAGCGCCTCGTTAATGAAGGAGGCTAGAAATTCACCTTCCCACATAGTGAATTCACAGGATAAAAAATAGGCTAAAATTTCCCTTCCCTCCACTTTTTTCCTTCCCTCCGCTGATTTATAACATTTTACTATTTGGGCCCTAAACTACTTCCCTCCCTTTTTTTTCCCTCCGCTGATTTATAACATTTTACTATTTGGGACCTAAACTACGTCATTTTTTTTTTGGGGGGGCCAATTAACACGTACTGTAAAACATGCACTTTCCCATTTCATTTAGCCCTAACGCTCTCTCTCATTTTCAGCTGCTCTCTCTCCTTCCATCACCGGTCTCGCCCGATCTTTGAATCCGTTTGGTTTTCCATCACAGCTCTCTCTTCTTCCATCACCGGTCATCACAGCTCTCTCTCCTTCCATCAGTTTTGTTGTATTCAGCTTTCTTATTCGGAATATGGATATGTAGGCAATTGTTGGCGACGACAGTTTTCCCGTGGCAGGTAATAACTCTAATTATCTCTCTCTGGCCCTTTCACTATTTCAATATACTATTTATCTTATCTAATTGCAAGCCTTAATCTCTGTCTAATCCATCAAACGTCCCAAGCCCTAACCTCTCTCTTTCCCTTTCTCTGATTCAAGAAAACTCTAACCGGCCTCTTTCTTTCCGTTTCTCCCTCTTGCCTTTTCTGTGATTGAATTTTAAAATACTCTTGTTGCTGATCTTTATGGATTTTAAATGCATGATTGCTCTTTAGAAAGCGTTTGAGGTTTAGCTTTTGAGATTCAAGTACTATAAAATCATGAGTTTATGTGCATATGGTATAGTTAATGATGCAATTTGGGTGTATTTAGCTTACCAATTATAATATATATATATATATATATATATATATATAGGTTTGTGTATATATATCATCAAATGAAACTAAAAAGAAATGGTTTATTCTATCTTCTTTTACATGTCATAGATTATTTAGGGGTTTTCCCTTCAAAAGTTATTCTTCATTATTAGATATTAGAGGATTTAAGTAAATTAAGAATATATCTACTAAGAAAGAACTACACAATTTATGGATTAATTTCACTTCTTAAAGATAAATCTTATGTGATCTTATTAGTGGTCTTGTGAACATAATATCATAGTAATATATGCATTTGGAAGCTGTATAAATTATATATATAGTGGATCAGTACTGCACATGCATGCTCTCTCGATCTCTACATAGTGTGTGTTTGTGTGTGTATGTGTATATATATATCATCTACATCTCAGGGTAAAACATTCTTCATTTTTAGGGTTATTTCATGGCAGAGTGAGTAATTAATGTCAAGCTAATTATTTGTTTAATTAGATATATAATCTGCACTAAGCTTTAGTAGTCTAGCTTTGTTGTTGTACAACTTCTAATAATTTAAATTAATGCATGTTTTACTTCTTAACCAAATACTATATCATGCATTATGAATATTTTGGTTGTTATCAATGAGCATAAGTTTCCGCTTGTGCACAAGTACTCTGTACTCTATCATGCATTATGACTATTTAATTATGTTGTTTTTAGCATTTTATAATTGATTTTTTTAGTTATGTATACACTTTTACTGAGGGCCAAAAAATAAAAACAAAAAATTAAATAATCAGGTAACATCAAATTTACTTGAGAAAAAATAAAGAAATTAAAAATTCTCCAGTTTACCATCCATAGGATGTAAAATCCATCATTAGTCATACCTGAGGTCTGAAGTTTTGATTGTTATCAATGAGCATAAGTTTTCACTCATGCTTAAGTGTACTGTCTCGCTTGGACCATATGTTGGATGGGTGAGGGGAAGGTGTATGGTACAATAGTTATCTGGTAATATGGAGAAATAAAGAGTTTTAAACACTTGGCACATACAGAAGTAATCTGTAAGCCATCCAATACAAGTGATGGTTAACAATGGCAACAATGAGGCAACGATACAGTTCTCACTTTGCTAACTATGTCCTGCTTCTTTTAGACTTTTAGTGCCTGACCAAAATGAGTGATTAAAAATTTTGTCTCATTGGTATTTAAGTAGGTTTTCTGGATTTCCTTTAAAGCCTACAAGTCATGAAAATTAGTACTCGTCTGTTTTTTTTTTTTTTTTTTTTTTTTTTTTTTTTCATTTCAAGTACTTAAAACTTAGCATACTGATATTAAGATGCAGCTACCTGCTTGGATTTTGTACCATAGACAATGAGATAGAGAACGTGTCTGAAAAACTGAAAGTCAAGTTGTGCCAATGATTGAAGAACAATGTGAAGATTTACTTATTGATGTGTTTTTGACAAACATTGGAATTTCTTTTGCAATTTGGCACATTAAACCATGATGAATTGTCTTTTGATATATTCAATGGTGTATGAATTGTGAAATCTTTTTATATGTTTAATGGTATATGAATTGTAAAATTGTCTTTTGATATGTTCAATGATGTATTTGGTTGTTAGCATCAGGTGAAAAGTGTTAGCTTTATGAAGTACTGTGTAGTTAAAATTGTGACCGATATAGAGGTTATATGTGGATGATTGGGTAGTATTAATTGAATGTGCTTTTATTAAATATAAATAAATAAATATGTTATTTACACATTATTTACATGGATAGAATCTCCCTGTAGAAAAGTTTTTTACGAGTAGCAACATATCTCATAAATATGTATTAATGAGTGATTAGTGACACTGTAAATTAATTATTAACGAGAGGTTAGTGACACCTTAAATTAATTATTAACGAGAGGCTAGTTACATCGTAAAATAATTATTAACGAGCGGCTAGTATATCGTAAAATAATTATGAACGAGTACAGTTACTCTTCGTGAATTAGTTATTTACGAGATGCCTGGTGTCTGGTACTTTACTGTTTTACGAGCACTGCTAGTCCCCGTAAAAAGTTAAGAGCATTTACAAGGGCATAATAGACGAGGGTGTCATGTGCGCCGTCAATATGTTTTCACGAGGTGCTTGTAATGTGGAGTACTCCACATTGCACGTACAAACAACATAAAAGTCCTTGATTCAAAAATAGGAACCGGGGATGACTGCATATCATTTGGCGATGGTGCCCAACAAATTCACATTGAAAAGGTGAAATGTGGACCTGGTCATGGCGTCAGCATTGGAAGTCTCGGCAAGTACCCAAATGAACAACCTGTTTATGGAATTACAGTTAAGGACTGCACCCTCACTAGGACAATGTATGGATGGAGTGGATCCCCTCCTAGCACCGCCTCTGATATTCATTTTAACGGTATTACCATGGACAATGTTGCAAACCCCATCATCATCGATCAAGAATACTGCGATGCAAGATTTAAATGCCCAGCTAAGGTACATAGACTAAAAATCAATCAATTTTTTAATTAATTTTTTATATTGTTTTCTTTTTCAACAGACAAAGAAACTTAACAATTTCATTGATTTGCTAATCATTTTCGATGTTTAATTTCAGCCTCAATTTAAAGTTAAGATCAGCAAAGTGAGCTTCAAAAACATTAAAGGCAGCTCCTCAACCCCAGCTGCTGTCAAGCTTGTTTGTAGCAAGGATGTGCCATGCGAAAATGTGGAGTTTGGTGACATTGAGCTGACACATAATGGAGGCCCTGCCAAGTCCGAAATTACAAATGTTAAGCCAATTGCTTCTGGCAGAGTAAATCCTGCACTGGGAAGAGCTTAATCTTCTTGGTTCTAATCAACTCCAAAGGAAGGATGAACAAAAGTTGTTTAGTGAGTCGCTAATTTATTTTCTCCTATTCATGCTATATGCATGATATTAACGTTGACAAAAGCAGTGTATTGTTTATTGATAAATAAACGCTTATTGGATTTATCTGATGGGCCTCACAACTGAAAATTATAATATTATTCAATTTATATTGTTATGTCAGTTTTATTTTTCAGATGTACGTTTGTATTGAGGTTATTATCCTTGAGACTTCAATCATTGCGACTTTTGCTAGTTTTGTTTGAAGAGAGTATGATTCATCAGCCACATTAAAATTCCTTAAAAGAAAATGATGCAAACATATATACAAATTTATATATAACCACATATATACACAGTCAGGCATAAACCATTTAGTTGATTAAGAAAAAGTACTGTGTTATTGAATGCCTCTAAATACTGATTATGCATTTTGATCAAATATCAAAACCAAAGAAAAGATAATCATGTCAATTCCTTTTTAAGTAAGTTTCATTCCATGAGATTTGTTGAAGTAGCCGGTGATACACCTCCAAGTTTTGCAACATCCAATTAACATGACCTTGGTTAAATATTACAAAGAAGATGGGGAGATAGATGGTGATGATGTACTAAGTAGGATTGGAGTCAAGTGGACAAAATATAGGCTAGGCTGTGGTGTCCTTTATAACAAACGAATACCAAATAATAAACAAATAAATAAATAAATAATTTGTATGGAGTAGAGTGTTGAAAAATAAATAAAAAACATCTAAGGGAAACATTAGATATTAGCGACTATAAATAATAAAATTAGAGAAAATACACTTAGGTGGTAAAGTCTTATCAACCCAATGATGCACCTTCTAAAAGTATAAGAGTTGCTTGCTTAAGAAGGTAACTAACAAAGGGTGGTGAAAAAGAGAAGATTCTTTTTTTTTTTTTTATTGATTCTCTTTAAAATTTTTGTATTCCCTTTATTCAATCAATCCTTTATTTTTACCCTTCTCATTTTTTTTTTTTTTTTTCCTTCACTTGTTTTTATTATTGTAGTTAAACAACTGTAATGAATTGTAAATATATATATATATATATATATATATATATATATAATAAGCATCATTTTTAAAAATAACTCAATTTTTTTTTTCATGAAACACTGTACAACAAGTTAGTTACCAAATATATTTTTGTTTCAAAATAAATCACACCACAAAAATATATTTTTATATCTCTATTTCATATTAAGTCGAAAATGCAAGATAGAGTTTGTTGCCAAGAAAATCCTTAATGTCCAAATTTATGCTTTCGAATGTTACTTCAGTTGTTTTTTGAATTAGAAGTATTATATACAATATGAATTTAGAATACAACACCATTATTGCACTTATATTTCTCGGCTTGTCGTCTTTGTGCACCGTTAGCTAACAAAAATTATTTTGTGATGTTTAATATGGTGAATTCCTTGCTCTGTCCCTACATAATCTTGAGGAGCAAACCTCTCCAGTTAGTTCCCCTTCAATTTCTTATAGTGCGCTTTATTTATGTTGTTTTATTAATTTTTGTCATTTTCATGTATTCTTCAGGAATTCAATCAATAATTGCACTGGTAGACTGGTAGTCTGTTTTTGTTTTTACATTTTATTTAGCATTCCATGTGGCCTTATTGTTCATTTGTTAAACGTATAATAAAATATAATGCATGACACAACCATATACATCCATTCATTAACAATTATATATGCATTATATAAACCATTAATTATTTGATTTTCAAATATTTATGGAACGTCAAACATTGTTTAATGAAATTCATTTCTCTTTACAGAAAGGGGTGAATGCATTTCTAATTATTTGACCTTTCACTTCCCAGAGAGAATGACTTTTATTAAGGGCATAGATCAATACCTATTGCTAGAATCTAGAGGGCGAAGAAGGCCAACTTTTGCCCCTGCAAGTCCTTTCGTGGTCTATTCCTTCTCTAATTTTCATTCAATAGAGAAGAATACTCTACAAACAGAAATTTTGTATGAATTTTTCTATCAAAATAATGTGGATCTTTCATTTCAAAACAAAAAGTGGCAGACTGGCCAATTAATCAGCTAAACATGCAGTGAAACTGATTTAATGAGAACCAAAGGTTAGTTCCTATTATTATATTTCAATATCGGAGAATTAAAAATATATAGAAGAAGCACTTATGTGGGAAATATTAAACAAAAGGCTAGCTTCACGAGGATAGATAATGGCGAAGCTCATTATTTTAAATTTCCAAAAGTTATTTAGTCGCATTTATTTATATATGCATTTCTATTATGAACCCTTAATTTGTCCATAAAAGGAAAGGAAAATGGTAAACATATTTACTTTCAAGCTTGATTAATAATTTCCTGTAATTATTATATTGGATATGTATTTATCCACATATATACTACAGACCTTATTATATATGGAAATTAAGGCACTTGATTAATTTACACATTCCTAGCAATACATGAAAATATAAGTAGTTCATCAAGTGCTCTCCAATTAATTGTGACCCACCAAAAGAAAATTAAGGCCAAAACATTCATTTAATGGATTTATCAACTCAAGTACTTTGTTGTCATTATAATTGCACATATAGCAATTAAATTACCATGAACGTTGATACATGCAAGAGAAGTTATTAAGTTGTGCAAATGCCAAATGCATTATACATGCATGGAATTAATGTGGCTAGCTTATTTAATTTAATTGGCAGGTGCTGCAGGTTCTTCGGGAGCAGATACATCATCTTCGGCATAATCCTCATCAGGATCATCAGGGTAGATACCCAACTCCTCGAGCACTTGGGTGCACTCGGCATCGGGGTCCTTCTTCATGAAGCCGATGTAGTTGGCGTAGCGAATATCGGAGTTTGATTCAATATCGGTGAGGGTGACCGGGGCTATTTCATCCATGGCTTCACCGCATGTATCAGGTTGGGGACTTGACACCACTGCCACCTCACAAACCTCGTCACCGTGATCTCCTTCTGCCTTTAGAGTGTAGTTCCCATCTTTGCCAGATTTTCCGTTAACGGAGTATGTCACATTTCCGGTCTCCACATTTCTGCATTCCAGGACCACTTCTGCACCTGCACAATTAAGGAAAAAATACATTGATACTCGTGATATATTGATGACATGATTATTTATGGAAAAAAAATATTGATGACATGATATTACAATCTATAAATTAAAATAATAATAAAAATAAATACATTTTGAACATTGCCATTTTAACTTAAGTCTTCCTTCAAACACTTTGCATCTGCAAGATGTCCCACTATGGATGCAAAGTGTGAACTCTTCCGCCTAAATATCATTTTCCCTACACTCTTATCACTTGTGCAAAAAGTCTTTCCATTAACATTGTATGTAATATTGCACTAGTTTTTATATCTTCATTGCATGCACTCATTGAATAACGATAGTGTTACATTACATACACACATATATATATTACTATATGGGTTTCATGTTCATAATTTGATTAAAAGTGGAAGTGTTATTTGTTTGGAAGTTAAACAACAAAAAGGCCAACAAAAGCTTATATACAATCAAGTAATTAAAAAGGTTTCAACAAAATTTAGATTCAACAAAAAAGGACAGTGTATAATAAAAAAGAATAGAAAATGAATTTACATGGCCGACCCCATTCATATGGGACATAGACAAATAACCATGATGAATTTGATGATTTTAATTACCTTCGAGGAATTGACTCAACTTGGTAATGAACTGTACACGGCATGGGTCGCAGAAAACCTTGCCTTCGATGGTGAACCTGCTGTCTTTGTTTTTGTCGTTGCCGTGGACCAATCCAGACAGGGCCAAGAGGCAGAGGGCAGAGGCAACGAGTTCTACAGCCTTAGCCATTTTCACTTCTCTTGGTATGTATTGGAATTGGAGGTTATCAAAATGACTTAAATACAAGGAAGAGGTGAGAGGGAATAAGAGAAAGAGAGGTTGAGCGGTTATTTCTGTATGGCTGAGTTTTAGCATGACAGAGTTTGAGCTGTTATTTGATGGCTGAGTTTTATGTCTTCGCTGGCAAATGCTTTAAACAACCTTCTTACCTGGCAGATTCCTTCATAACATTTGCCTCTTCCCTAACATCTTCAGTTCTTTGACAAACCAAGATGAGAACAAATAATTATAAAGGAGATTATATAAAAAAATAATATGCCTCAGAAATGTATGAAATAAATGTTGACAGCTTTATGTTGCCTCTGTTTTTTCATCTTGTGCAGCCCTTAGTTGTCTTAGAAATTACTATTCTGTTTCATCTTCTTCAGATTTAAGCATGGGCTGCGTTTTTTTACAAGTAGTATATTTCTTTTTTCATTGAACTCGTTATGAAATAAACCCAAAATAGAGGTATTGCTAAAAGAAAATGACCTAAATTTTAATGGGTGGACATGCATTGAGACGCAAAAGAAGATCGCCTCAAAGATTAAATTGATTTTTATTTTTATTTTTTGTTAGATGGAAACAACAACTACAGGTGATGAACCAATCAAAACAAATGGAGAAAAAAAAAATTTGTTGTCTAACAGGGAATGTCAAGTTCAATTTATATACAGTAAAAAGTAGAATACAGAATAAATTTCATGTCCAAATAATTAGAAGAACTTTCGTATCACATTCTGAAATCAGCTAATATATTTCTTATTGAATCAAAAACCTACTGCCTAATTTCCGCTCCGGTTGTTTATCCGGAAAATATTTTTTGCAATTTTTGGTGTTCGGTTGCACTTACAACTTGGTGAAATATTTTAGTGTAAAATATTTTATGCCATGTAAGTTAAAATGACTTACTAGGGGTGTTAACTCGGCGGGTTCGGGACGGGGCACCCTTTTTCCAAATCCGTCCCACAAACAAAAATCTTTTTCCAAACACGGGGCATGGGTTAGGGTCAGGGCGCCCCGATATACATATTTTTTTAAAAAAAAATAATACAATTCTGAATTAATTCAAGATAAATTTTGTAACTTTTTTGTAGTATAGTCAAATATTTAATGATCATAATAAAAAAAATGTTGTTAAAATTTATAATTATCAAAATAAAGAAAAAAGAAAATTTATAGCTAATACGGTAATATTTATTTATATAACAATTATTAATTGGGTCGGGTTTTGGGCTTTGCATGTTTTAAAAAGCCTGTTAGTATATGTGAGTTTGTACGCAGTGGAATGGTTGTGAAATATAATATGGACAATTAACCTAGAAGGATAATTAATATATTTAACTTGTTCCTTTATCCAATTTTTATTTATGTTAATTTTATCAAAATAAAACTAAATTCAAACCACAAAACAAAAATAAAGTGCAAGTAAAGTAAATAAGATTTGAGAGATGACACTAGGATTTTTAGCGAGGAAACTGTGACGTTTCCAATTTTCAGCATTTTTCATTTTTTCGGTAATTCATGGGTACAAGGGCATTTTCGCTTTTTCACGTTTTGCGTACGAGATTTTAGTTGAGTCCACTTGCATTTCATACATTTTATTTTATGTCGATTAAGTAGTATTTGTATGTGATGCATTCATGTGTGTGGTGTGGAAATTAAAGCAAAAAGAAAAAGAGAAAAGAAAAGATAAATGGGTGGGCCCCACCACTATTGTTTAAGTGGTCTAGAGACCACATTTCTATTCCTATTTTCTCTCTCCCCGCTGGTTTTCTATCTCTCCTTCATTTCTTCTTCATTTTTCTTTTCTTTTGATTTCCAAACTTCAAATCTTGATCCCATCTTCAATACTTGGAAATTTGGGGTGCCGTTTGAGGCAAAACGGAGAGCACGACGAGCTCTACGCGTGGGTAGCAACAATTTCAGTTTTGGTACTCCCTTGTGCATTCGAATTTGGAGACTTGAGGTAGAGGTTCTTAATTCATGTTATCTTGCTCCTTGGTGAATTATATCTCTTAAAATGTTGCAAGCATGTTTAATTTGAAAGTTAACTATTTTAAAAATCTTCTAAGTGTTATTAGAAACTACATGATTATGTATATGAGTTGTTTGGTGTGAAAAGCATGCTAGATGTTGTTTGGTTATGTGTAATGTATTGATAAATTACTTGAGATGATGAAAATGGAATATGCTTAATCGTGTAATGTAATTTCTCTAAATTCTATGACACTGAAAGCATGGGACACATACATGTGCGTTATCATTGGGTTCTCATGAAGGAAATTGTTTTTGAAATGAAAATGGGAATTTTGGGGAAATTGTTTTTGATGAATTCGTTTTGTGAAAACTCAGTCGCCGCGGGGGTACCAAAGGGCCGGAAGGTTAATATGGCCTAGAGGGAACTAGGGAGATTGCCCTAGCATGGTTGAGCTAGCTGGGCCCAAAATGACGCCACGGGGGTACTAAGGGTCAGGGACACTAGCCAATCCTTCTCTCGTGTCGCTGCGGGGTCACCAAAGGGCGGATTATATTAACCGTTTGAAAGTGATGGTTTTGAAATGAAAATGGAGAACGACATTGGCATGCATTGCATTTTATTGCATTGTATTGGTTATATTGAAATTTGTTATTATGTTGTGTATTATTCCGACATTATATGATTCCCTTCTCCCATTGCTCTATTCTTTGTATGGATTCATGGGGACACAAGAGGCGTATCTTAAGTACCATCTACTGAGCAATTTGCTCACCCCATTATACTTAACATTTTTTAGGTCATGGAAAGGAATTGGCGGATGATGATCCACCGCAAGCTTGAAAGTTGTTAGAAGACCATTTGCTGTTTTATACTTAGGCCATTCTTTTGTATGTTTATTGTTTTGGAAATGTAACAAATGTTATTATTCAGGGCCTTGTAACTCAAGTATGAGATTTAGTATTTGTTTTGATGTAAATGAAACTAATGTATGCATTATAATTAACGTCATGTAATTGTAATAAATGATCTTGTAAGATGATCGAGTGGTAGTACTCGTGTTCATGACCTTGAAATGTTTCATTTTGATGGTTTAGCTCACGTTAGAATCATTTTAAAGCTTTCCATAACCATTTCAGTTCATTTCAAAGTATAGCAGGTTAGCTTCAGGATGCAGGGCTCGAAGAAGCCATTTCGGTCGACCAAAATAATGCATCGGTCGACCGAACCCCTTTGTAGACTCTCGGGATCTCCATTTCGGTCGACCGAAATAGGGTTCGATCAACCGAAACCTTCACATGCTCTCGGTATCTCAGCTTCGGTCAACCGAAGCAGTGTGTCGGTCGACCGGTTCTTGAAGGCCTACTTTGGCCGACCGAAGCTCCACTTCGGTCGACCGAAGTGTGCCTATTGGGTCTTCTTTGTTCCTTCTTCCTTTGTAATCCATTTTTTATTCCGGAAAATTACTTAAAACCTTGGGAAAGCTTAAACTTTGATCCTAATGAGCATGTTTTGACAGTTGAAATGTTAGGTTTGACGTAGATGACCTCAGGTTCGAGTAAGGACCCGGTTAACGGTTCGGATCCCCGGGTTCAGGTCGTTACAGGAATGGTATCAGAGCCTTGGTTCGAAAACCTTTAGGACGACGGGTAGAGGCCTACATAGGATTACATGGGGTGTTGATTGCGTTGCTTATTTGACTACTTGCTATGCGTTGTATTACTTGAACAAGCATGCTTAATTGTCTAAGTGCTTACGTGCTTACATGCTATGTTAAAGTGTTTCTTGTCTAGTTTTGCATGTTAAGTGTTGGTACGACATCATTTCATGTTGAGTCACCCACAGTGGACCTTAGTGTCATGTTTTTGAACCATTTTTTCATTTTATAGCATGATGTCACGGCGTGAGGAACAAAGGGAACTTGGCCTTAGGTCAACTAAGGGCGATGTTGGCGAGAGCTCAAACTCCAATCCGGAGGAGCTAAATGATGAGGACACCCTTCTTAGAGACTTGATTCCCCTGAGAAATGTTCCCACAAGGAGGGATAATGTTGACGCACCTGTAGAAGTGGGTGAAGGTTCTGTAGCACTGGAGTTGAATTGTTTGTTGCAAAATGCCGTGAGAGCAACCATTGCTGTTCAGTCGCAGTCGGCACCACAACCTACAGTTCAAGTTGAGGAGACACTAGCGCAAAAGCGTCTGAAGATCATTAAGGGGTTTTCTTAGTTGATGCCAGTTATGTTTGAAAGAGGTGCGGATCTAATGGTAGCAGACGACTACATGGATCAAGTTGAGACTCAGTTGACCTTAATGGATGTGACAGAGGATCACTTAAAGATTATCCTAGCTACTGACAAGTTTTCTAAAGACGCTAAGCTCTGGTGGAAGACGGTTACGAATCGGCAAAAGGTGGAAGAAATGAGTTTGGATAAGTTCAAGGAGCTATTTTATGAAAAGTATTTTTCGATTTCTAAAAGATGGGAGTTAAAAGACCAATTCCTTGGCCTTATCCAAGGCAATATGACAGTGGCAGAGTATGAGAACAAATTCACTTCATTTTCTCGCTTTGCTCCGGAAATGGTGACAGATGAAGTTGACAAGACTCAGAAGTTTGTTTCCGGTCTTCATGACAGAATGAGGCCGTTGATAATGGCACAGTTCATCAAGGTTTATTCTGAAGCAGTAGAGAGGGCTTTGATGCTTGAGGCTGATATCAAAGATAAGGATGTAAGAAAAGAACAGTGGAAGCAAAAGAAAGGTGCAGGGCCACCTTCAGAATGATCTTCTTGGAAGAAGAACAAGGGTGGTTCGTTTCAGTTTCAGGGACAGCAGTCCACACGATCTACTCCTACCAGTCCTTTACCAACTGGGTCTGACAGAAATGGAATTGTTTGTTTTCAGTGTCAGCAGCCCGGACATTATAAGTCCAGCTATCCCATGAGATCGTCTTCAGTTTCTTCAGCTCTAAAGGCTTGCTATGGGTATGGCCAGCAGGGTCACTTGATTCGAGACTGTCCGAGTCAGGGAGCAGGCACCAGTAGTGGCAAAGGGTCACGACAGAGGCCGTCACAGTCGGCTACAGTTCAGTCAGGTTTTAGACCACCACCACCACCACAACAACCTGCTATATCTTCTCAGGGTTCACGATCTGTTAGGAGGGATGCTCCTACTGTACCAGTGCAGCAGTCCAGCATTCAGGGTGGCAGTTCTCAGGCACAAGCACCGCAAGGCCGTATCTTCGTACTCACACCGGCTGATACATCTTCTGGACCGTCAGTTCTTCGAGGTATCTTTCCAGTGTTTAGTTCTTGGGCTCGTATTCTTTTTGGCTTGCATTCTTTTGGGCTCTAGTGCATCTCATTCCTTCATGTCATCATCTTTTACATTTACATCGGGGTTAGAGGTCAGTTTCATGGATCAGGCGTTGTATGTTGATACGGCAGTTGGGGTTTCAGTGTCTTTGAGCCGAGTTGTTCGGGATTGTTCCATTGTGATAGTCTGACGGACTTTTGTGTTTGACCTTATCCTCTTGGAAATGACTAGCTTTGATGTCATTCTCGGAATAGATTGGTTGGCTTTCTTTCATGCCACGATTGATTGTTTCAGAGGGAGAGTTATAGTTTGCACTCCAGAAGGAGATTGTTTCTTTTTCGTGGGAGATCAGAGTGATTCCCAGCCTTCATCATTGTATGGAATTCGTGAACGAAGTCGTGGAGATTATTTCTTGGCTAGCCTTCTGGCCAAAGAAGATGATGCTATGGGAGAAGACTATCCGGAGGTAGTTCGTGACTTTCTCGATATGTTTCCAGAGGATTTGACAGAATTGCCTCCACACCGAGAAGTAGAGTTTACTATTGACTTGATGCTCGGTACCGCGCCGATTTCTATGGCACCGTATCGTATAGCACCAGTTAAATTAGAAGAGTCGAAGAAACAGCTTGAAGATTTGAGGATGAAAGGTTTCATCCGACCGAGTGTGTCACCGTGGGGCGCACCGGTCTTGTTTGCCAAGAAGAAAGATGGTTCTTTGAGGTTGTGCATTGATTACCGGAAGTTGATTCATGCCACCATCAAGAACAAATATCCTTTGCCAAGGATAGATGATTTGTTTAACCAGTTGAGGGGAGTCAGTTGTTTCTCAAAAATTGATTTGAGGTCTGGCTATTATCAGTTGCGGGTTAGGAATGAGGATATCCTAAAGACAGCGTTCCGTATACGATATGGACACTATGAGTTCCTTGTTATGCCTTTTGGCTTGACTAATGCGCCAGCGGCATTCATGGACTTGATGAACCGCGTCTTTCACGATTACTTGGACCAGTTTGTGATAGTTGTAACGACCCTAAACTGAAACCATTTACACAAAAATTTCGGCATGACCTCCCTTAAAAATGGTCCTTTAACAACCTGTCCCAACACACAAAACAAATAATATACTCCAGCATCCCATTCATCCGTTCATTACATCTCAAGATAGTTCCTCTAATGGTGGAACATCCACACACTAATTAATCCAAATTATCATGATTACAGTCCCAAAATACATTATTTGAAATTCATCGTCATGATCCAAAGTACATTTCCTTAGTTAACAAAATAGGTACCCTTTGCTAAAACTCAAAGTTTTACAAAAATAGAGAGTATACAAAAGTGTAGTCTAGTACAAAAGTAACAAAATGTTCCTCTAGCAACATTCATGGTTGAGGTGGGTTGTCGTCCACCGGTTCTTTTCCAAGGCCTGAAAAAAAGATATATATGATAGGGTGAGCGTAAAGCTCAGTAGGTGACACTTAAGACACAATTCTTGTGTCCTAGTGAATTCAAACAAAGCATAGGCCAATAGGAAATGGGGGTCATGCAACGTAGGGAATCAATACAACATACTAGTCAACTCCAAACACAATCAATGCAATGCAATGAAGTGCAATACATGCTAATGCCACTCCCCATTTTCTTTCTCAAAACCATCACTTTCCAAATGTTAACGTAACCCCCTTTGGTAACTCCGCCGCGACGAGAGAAGGATTGGCTACCGTCCCTAGGCCTTTTGTGACTCCGCAGCGCCGTCGAGGGGCCCGAATAGCTCAACCACGCTAGGGTACTCTCCCTAGTTCCCTCTAGGCTACATTAACCTCCGGCCCGTTGGTAACTCCGCAGCGACCGGGTTTGTTAAAACCATTTCACAAAAACTATCATCTCCCAAATCCCCCATTTTCATTTCAAGACCAATTCTTCCCTTTTCATGCATCCCAATGACATGTGCATGAATGTATAAATGATTAAAATATTATGATAAAGGGAAAATTTGGTACAATCTAAATAAACATGCTCTCATACATCATTTATAGCATTTTAACACAAAGTAGACATAAAAATTCAACATTTTAACATTTAGAAACTTTCCAATACATCATCACTACACATTTAGGCATTTATCATGTTCAACATCCTCAATTAAATTATCAACACATTTAACACAACAAGGTCATCATCTAAACATGTTATTCACATGATACAAGTTATAATCAAAGTAATGAAATTCTCTAGACATAATTTATACATTATGGAAGCAAGTATTTTCTCAAATTAAGCATATTATCACACAATAGGGTCATAATTCACAATAGAACAAGAAAGGAGTGGATTAAGATGCCCCTACCTCAAAATTGCACCAAAACCCTAGAAAATGGGTCTCAAATTCGAACTACAAGGAGAGCTCAAAGCTGGAAATTGTTGGTACTAGTACGTAAAGCTTGTCGCACTCGTCATTTTGCCTCAAACGGCACCTTATTCCGACAAACAATGAGTGAGATACCTTGATTCAAAGGTTGGTCTCTAAAAGAAATGGAGAATGAAGAAAATTAGAGAGCAGAGAGAGTTCAGCGGGGAGAGAGAAAGAAAATGAGAGAAAAAAAAAGAGTCTAGGCTATTATTTTGAGTTAGTGGTGGGCTCCACTTGAAATTATTTTCTTTTCACTTTATCTTTATTCCATTGTCTACACCACACACATAAAATTACACCATAATTTAAATGTTACACTCCCATGAAAATTAAGATGCACAGACTACACTTGGACCCAACCACAATCCCGTCGATAAGTGAAAAGACGAAAATACCCTTGTGGTAACAAATTTTCAAAAAATTCAAACATCCTAAAATTTGGAAACTTCATAATCTACCCTCCTTAAAGAGATTTCGTCCTCGAAATCTACCCTCCTTAAAGAAGAAAGCACAACAGCCACACACTCTCCCAGGACACCTTACAAAACTCCGAGACTATGAATCCACCGACATTATTGCCTTTGATACCGGATGTCAATAGACAATCACGCTCTGCCGCCCAAAAACCCAATGATCACCACCCTATGAGAGCACTCATCACTCACAACATTAATCACCAAACCTACTGAATTCTATACTTGACTTAAAACCAATATTGGTCCTTTCTATACTGCTACACAAGGCTCGAAAGAAAAATGGTCACAAGACCCCCGATAATGACAACATTCTATCTCCGTTCACTCTTTTTAAAGGATAAACCAGGCCCCAATGAGGATCAGACTTAACCTCAGATCAACACATCTCTGCCAAACCAACACCTGTCATCAATCATACGACTATACAACTACATCATCATACAATGACCACCAACCACACTAATCAATAATTATCATACTGATCAACCTTAGGATAACTAAATGATGAATCTCGCAATAATCATATAATCATGAGTCACCAAAACAATAAAATGCATCACCTTGCATTTTGAACACAGATCCTCAAAACAAGATTCTCAAAAATCAATGATTGTACCACTAACCTGCTATCAAACACCCAATACCATTTAACACCTCTCAGCACTCTAGATAAATCGTGAAAGTCCACATTGTTACCATACTCTCACTATCACCAACAAGTCGGAGTAATCATTGACCTTTGACCCGACATCGTGTCAAAGAAGGATTAATTCAGGAGTAATGGTTGGCCAGGCCATTCTCATTATCGATCCGACCTCAACACATATATCATTCCTGTCCTCAGGTCTAAACCTCAAACACAACCCTATACAATCCACAAAACAACCACGAAACCCACTCTCTAATCAATCTGTCACTCTACATAACCTCGACAACAATATAATCACATATTAGCTCTAAAAACTCTAATCATGCCTCAATTATAACAAGCCAAAGTAACACATCGCCAATATCCCAATCATCAATCAACCTAAAAGTCTTTCAGTCACCTCATATCGTCCACAACACGTAATCAACTTCATAACCTTATTCGATTCGATTCTGAACTTGTCAAAACACCCAATACAATCATTTCGTGCTGAAATCCTCAAGACAAAGTCAACCATTCACATTATTCCTAAATGAAATCCCTTAATCATTCACTAGCTGTATAACACCCAAGCAATACTAATATTTATCTTCAAGACACTACTAGAATCAATCCCTTCTGAAAACATTCAAATACATGAGTCATGCCACATCATTTAATTATCCTCAATTGTAATTCATGACACGTTCTCTAGTCATCGCCAATAGTACCAATCATCAGAAACATAATCCTCATTCGGCAATTTGTGCCTCACATCCTACCAATTAAACCATTCTCAAAACAAAGATTGCAAAACTAAAGGCTATACCTCCCTCCGGGGAAGTAAATCGACCCCTTCAATCAAAACCTCAATCGATGACCTTCAATGAAGCAACACCCGCTCACAAATCCGTCCACCCACAAACGCACACGACCTCTAGACAGAGATAAAACT